TAATTTGATGGTTGAATTGCCAGAGGAGTTCAACTTCATCACTGTGCACTTCTTGCCACCCAACACAAAACCTCTCATCCAGCCCATGGATCAGCAGGTATTTTCTAACTTTAAGAAGCTATACACAGAGGCACTGTTTAGAAAATGTTTTGCCTCCACTTCTTCCAGTGATGTTAGTTTGAAGGAATTTTGGAAGAGTCACTTCATAATAGCAGACGCTGTGTTTTTAATTGCGTCAGCCTGGAAAGAGGTTACTATGAGGTGTCTTTGTGCTGCTTGGAGGACATTGTGGCCTGAATGTGTGCTTCAAAGAGACTTTGAAGGCTTCGAAGAGTTAGAGGAAGAGGCTGTTGTACATGAAATATTGTCTCTGGGCAATTCCATGGGCCTGGAAGTGGATGATGATGATGATGTTGAGGAGTTGGTGGAAGAGCACAGTAAGGAGCTGTCCACTGTGGAGCTGCTTGAGCTTCACAAAGAAGAAAATGAGACACTGAAGCGGAGCTTAACTTCTGAGGAGTCGGGAGGATGAGGACAAGGAGGAAAGCTGCATCATTCCAGCCAAAGATCTCAAGGATGTGTTCTTTTGCTGGAGCAAACTGTCTAAGCTTGCGGAGGATTATCATCCTGATGTTGGTGCTGTGGAAAAAGCCATCAGTGTGTTTAATGACAATGTGATGAACTACTTTTAGAAGGTCCAGAAATCAAGGTTGAAGCAGCCAACCCTGGATTCCTTCTTTAAAAAAGTAGCAAAAGACCCTACAGACAAAGTGCCTGTAAGACAGTCACCAAAGAAGGCTAGGAAGGATGACTCCTCTCCTTCCACCTCTTCTCCATAATTCTCTCCTCCCCCCCTCCCTCTCTGCCTCCTGTCCCGCATGCTGAACAACATTATGGTAAGATAAAGTACCATATTTTTTACATTTTCCACAGAAATTTTTCAGTGTTAAGTGGTTGTATTTGGGGGCCTGGGACGGATTAATCCTATAACGAACGAATGCTATAACGAACAAGGTTCTAGAACCAATTAGATTCATTATAGCATACCCCACTGTATATGCAATGTATTTCATGAGGCAAAGGGAGGCTCAGGAACGTAACTCTCGTATTCTATCTATTTCTTATGGGGAAAATTGAACCGCTTAACATTGTTTCGTATAACGTCGCGTTTTCAGGAACGTAACCCCGACGTTAAGCAAGGACTTACTGTACCAATCACCATGTGTTTTTAGAAAGAACAAGCTAGTACTACCACTCCACCCTCTTCCTCCCAGTCACTCGCTACCTCACCACCCGCCTCTCGGCCGCATGCCACCTCCGGGTCGCGCGCCACCCCCGAGTCATGCTCCTCTCCACCAACCACCACTGCATCACCCTTTTCCACCAGTGATCTTGATGATCCACCTACCCAGTATACTTCATTAACCAGATGTACCCCTATGTACAGTGCACCTTCTTCAAGCTCCAGACTTCCACCTACGAATGTAAGTACAGTATTGTGACTTAAGTTTCTCAAACACAGTACAGGTATAGGTGTACCTGTAAATTAGTGCACTAAGTTATTATATAAGTGGCTATTCGTGGTTTTGCCAATTCGTGCCATTTCTTGGAACCTATCCCTCGCAAATGGCAAGGGTTTACTGTACACCAGGCCCAGGGGGGGCCGATAAGCTTAGTGTACGACACATTAAGCTTTTCTCGGAGTTATTAGGACTTTCCAGAATTAAACCTTGAATATTTCATGATGGGTTTTGAAAAGTCTCATATAAACAGATTTTTATTAACCTTTCCACTAGAGATGTACTGAGGCCTATATTTGGAATATAGGTATTGACCAATTTTCAGCTGATACTTTCCTAATTTTATTTCTGTAATTTTTGCCTCTGGCATCCAAAACTTTGCATTTCCATTATTACACATATGGCAGATCTTACTGTGAGTGAACTGCTCTGGAATACAACTAGCAGTCTTATTTTCGCTAACATATATTAAATGTTTTCGGTCAATAAACACATTCTATTTTTGTTCAATGTGCAGAACAATATTAATACAATATGTCTCCACTCGTTGGAACAGCACGTATTTCATGTAAACTACTGCCTTAAAGGCCCTAACCTCCATGTATTTGATGCAAACAAATGGAACCTGATTGGGAAGCTCTCTACTCTAATGAAAATTTTCCACAAGACTACTGTTCAGTTGTGTAATCCCTCAAATCAAGTTTCATAACTAAAAGCATCAGCAGATGCTCATTTTTCTGGGTTAGGCAGTACTCTCAATGCCATCAAGGCATTAATGGAGAACTGATTTCATAAATATCTAGATGACAAAAGTCCAAAACTGGCAACATATCTTAATCCCGAATACAAGGATACCCTGTATTGAACTGAAGGTGATAAAGTGTCTAAAATACATGAAGTTAATCTACAGAGAGTGATTGCCAGCTATACTGTACAAGAAGAGGAAGCAAACTATACAAGAAGGGGAAGAATGTGAGTACACTGTATTCCAGTGCACATTCTAGTGTAGAACCTAGAGAGTCTTGTGCAAATAAGTGACTTTGATTTTGATAAATGTGTAGACCATTTAGAGACAGAGGGTGATAGTGATCATTCACAGTCTATTGAACTAAAATCAATTCCAAGGATTTTTTCCAAGAATAAAAAAAAAGTGCAACAACTTCATTTCTCAGAGCTTAAATGGACAGATACCAAACATTACAGTTGCAAGCACATAATGGAAATCCTTTAGATTGGTGGTAAACCAATAAGAACATACCTGTACTTCCAAGATTAAGTCTCCTTGCAAACAAGCATCTTCTTCACCATCATTGGAGAGTGAAAGATTATTCAGCATTGGTGGTAATTTATACACTCCACATCGAAGTCATCTTAATGCCGACACTGGTGAAACACTCGTGTTTTTATGCTGCAATTTGTGAATTTTCAACTTTGATTACTGAATACAATTATGTAACTCAAGTTCTTGTAATTATTTGTTTGAAACATATAATTCCAATCTAAGCTTTTGTGCTGAAAAGTCCAAGAAAATGTACCTATGTATTTTATTATAAACTTTTTTCTTCAATTACTGGTAGTCTACTGTACTACATATACGTATTGCATTCTTCAATAATTACCGGTAGCTAAAATGGAATATTTTATTACAGTGAACCCTCACTTTACACGGTTAATTCAACCCACGGCGGCCCACGTAAAGTGAACAACATAACATATGGGATTAATTGAAATAGAGACCGGGCCGACCCCCAAACTCCACTTTTTCAGACACAATACCTACGTTGTAGTAAAAATAACTTCTTAATTTTATGATGGTATGCACACACAATTAATAATTAAGAGAAATATCAATAATATTAGGTTTTTTAACACTTGCATTAGTAGAAAAGATGGCTAGGCACACGGGGATGGGGGATTGGTTCCGAGGCAGAGGGCAGAATATTGGCCCTCACCTGTATCACTTGTATCAATTGTATCACTATCCACACAGAGGCTTGCAGGGCCTCTTTGTCAAACCCCTCAAAGTCCATATAAGTCCATATCCTCACTATCATTATCACTATCACTGACTTGGGCCGGCTGTGGTGGGTGGCGGGTGAAGAACTCGGTAATGTTTTGATGACTGGGCGACCTTGTGCGCACCCTGCTCCCGCCGCTCTCCGCGTAAAAGGGTACACACACCACGGAAAGTGAGCATTCCGGTTTCGGCAGGGTACCACGTAAACGTGGAAACGCGTAAAGTGGGACCGCGTAAAGTGAGGGTTGACTGTATAAGCGTTTTTAGTTCAAATACTGCAAGTCTACGAAATTGCTTTCAATAATTTGCTAAAATGGAATAAGATTTGAAAATCTACATTATTTTTTTAAACTTGGTACTTACATTGCATCCAAATATAAATTAGTACAGTAGTAAGATTACTACTGTAAGTGTTTTAGCTATGTCTTTGTTTTTTGGTTCTGTAATTGTGGTTTTAAAAACTTAAAACTACTTATATCTTGAGATATATAAATTTCAAAGCTCAGAGCTACAAGTTTGGCAAATTTGCCTTTAGCTTCCGGTACTTTTATTTCAATGCACTGAGAAACTGGAATATTGATGGTTACATACTTATTCATAGATACTGTAGAAGTTTTTGAACTACCATAGCTTGTTTATCAATAAATTGGGAAGAATTTTGCCTTATGTGTATTATTTATTCGTGTGGCATGACACCACATGTTTATTTTTTAAATTTCAGATTAAAATTGCGAAGGAAATAAAAAAAATTTCAAATGATTTTCACTTTCTGCAAAGGAAATCCAAGAGTCTTACTGCACACCCTGAGTCCTGAGAAGATGTATATTTTACATTCCCATTAAATTTAAGGTTTCTGTTGAATCAGCTGATCTTATCTCTTATATATAGTACACCTGTAATTAGCCGCCATTAAGCTTATATTATTTTTAAACACTATACATACATACCTTTCAAAGGGGATATCAGTAGGGGGTCTCAAATTCATATGAATCCTTAGACCACAATAACTGATAGTCTTGCTTTTTTTTTCACAATTTTACCCAGACCAACATGTAGTGTTTTTCTAATAATTTGTGCTTCATTTGAGTCACTGTTTGGAAATTTGGGAGATCATTAGTTGCCAGAATGTCTGAATGAACTTCCACAGAAAAAAAAATCATGGCATTTGTATTTCCTCTTAGAAATTAAAAACAATTGGTAGACTAAATTGATATTACATGCCCTTGTTAAATCTTTTAAAGATATTAAATTAGTAAAGAGTCTGTGTCTATTGATTCTGACCCTCTAGTGCCTTAGCTGGAGGTTCTTATTAAATAGCATGTGATTTTTTTTTTTAACAATCCGTCTTTATTACTCTTCTGACCAATATTTCAAGTGCATGTGATCGAAGGAGAACTTATCATACATGCACTTAATACAGTATTTGGGAAAGTTAAATATACTGATTTCCGTTTATTTTGCAGAGAGCTCGTACCATTATTTCTTGAAACTCTTCAAAGTACATGGCCCAATCGTAAAGGTAAAGTACCCAGGTCAGCCTGTACTGGTGTTGATCTCCCGGCCTGAAGATGCTGAGAAAATTCTAAAACTGACACAAGATAATCCAGTGAGAAATGAAATGGAAGCCCTCAAGATGGCCAGATATATTAACCCATTTTATGAAAAGAAAGCTGGAATAGTGACAGAGTAAGTAATAATTCTTGTATGGATTTCTACTTATTTACTTTTGTACAGGCAATTCCCGAGTTGTGAACGGTAACATTCCTGGACCTTGTTCGTAAGTCAGTCTGCTTGTAAGTCGATCTGTTCGTAAGTCGGAAGTGTTAATTCCATAGGCTAAGTTAGGTTAGGTTAGGTTAGGTTTGGTTAAAGTACAACCCTGGCCATATAAAACAACATTAATATCCCATACATAAAAAAAAATGTAAATAAAGTGATTTTAAACTATATATAGAATAATGAAAATAAAGTAATGTAAAAAAAATGGGATTTAGTTACAGAATAATGTTATTAATATATTGGAATCCCATTCATAAGTGGTGCAGAGCTGTTACTGGAATGAGAGATTTCCGGGTAGGAATACAAATTTTCTCTTCCCCGGAAAAAATTGTATATCTCTGGAATTTTTCCGGGAATTGGAGAAAGTTTCCGAGAGTCTAAACTACACATCTCCCACAGACACACTATCGCACATCCCCCAAATTTTCTGGGTAATTGCGAAAGATTTCTGAAAGTCTAAACTATGCCAAATGGTGATATGATGATAAAGGATGGTTTGCCTTTGTCCTGTACCATCTACTGTAGCAGGTGTTATTAACCCTCTCATCCTCACACGACGCCATAGTGGTGTCGAACATAAAAGGCGAAAAAACTTAAGCTCAACCTCGCGACGCCAATGTGGCGTCCAATGGGCTATATTTTCAAATAACTCACAAACTATTCTGTGAAACTGACTGAGCTTTGGATGCCAGTTGACAGATGTTGTTTTCTTTGTATGGGCCTTAATACCTTCCCCTTGACAGTCTTGGTCACCGTGTGAGTGGCGTGTGGTGTCGCTCTGGCCATTAGAGCAAGAAGAGGGTGCACTGCTCGGCCCTTTAAATTATTCCATAAGTATTTGTTATATTTTTTTTCCTTATTCTACAGGCTTTGTTCTTTATTTTGGAAAAAAAGTACATATCAATGAACACCATAATACAAGCAAAATGTGAATGAAATCGAGATGTTACTAAACATTTCCTGCTTTTTCAACTTTTACTCAAAGAAAGTGGCTTAAATTTCAAGAATTTGATTTTTTTTATGGTTTCATACAATTTGTCAGACAAATTTATGCCAGAAGAGACCCCATTACAATTAAAGAAACAATTCCATGGCAGTGAAATGAGCCCCAAAAACAAAAATTTAAATAATTTTTTGGCAACAACCTCTGAGGCTGAGCTTAAGTTTTCATGCACGCATGTGTCTCAGGCTCCGAGGTTGAGAGGGTTAACTGTTACTCTCCTCTCCCTCCATGAAGGAGGGATGGTACAAGTGCTGTATACTATATGTACGCCTCTACATACTAGCCTACAGTAAGCATACACTGTCCACTCTGCTATATACAGTACAGTACAGTATAGTCTCGATTTACGCGGATTTTGTTAATACGCGTTTTGGTCATTTACGCATCACCTTGCCAGAATGAAATGTTTTAATTACGCGGTAAATTTCATCATTTACACGGCGAGCGGCTGGAGAGGTCCAGACGCGCCATTTTGTACTCGCACGGTCCATTCTTGACCATACAGTACATGGAAGCGGCGCGGTGAGGGGTGCGCATTAGGTCACTCTTACGTTATCGCTGACGTCATTTAACGTATTGGACTGTGATTGGGCTACGCATCCTTACCTCCCTCCTCCGCTAGCTGTGATTGGTTTAATGTAACATGACATGCCCTGCCACCAGAGGGAAGGAGTCGCTGACCTCGCCGGGCCACTCTCATTGTTCTCAGTTCTCCACGTATACAGTTCTCTCTTGTGCCCGCTATTCCCGTCACAATGGCTTCCGCTGGACCCCCACCACCCCAGAAAAACCTTGAACCTGGACCAAGCCATGATTATGTGAAGGAAGTCATCGAGTTGGGGGAGAAAATCAAGCTCATCCTTGACAAAGACACAGTCAAGCATCGGCATGAAGTGTCTAATAACCTTCTGTCGAAAATTATGGAGCCGTATGTCCAGATGTATCACGACAACATCAATGCTAGTCTCGCCCGCAACCCACCACAACCATAGCCAGCCCAAGTCGGTGATAGTGACAGTGACGATATGGACTTTGAGGAGTTTGTCAGGTAGGCCCTGTAAACCCTTGTGAATAGTGATAGTGATTCACCGGAGGGCAACTAATCTGCCCTCTGCCTCGGAACCAGCCGCCATTCTCGTATGCCGACCCATCTCTTCTACTAACGTAAGTGTTAAACCTTGATTTTTCTTTTACCTGGTACAGTATATTATTCTCTTATTGATATTTCTCTTCTATATTATGTGTGTGTGCATACCATCATAAAATTAAGATACTATTTTTACTACAACGTACGTATTGTGTCGGAAAAAGTGGAGTTTAGGGGTCGACCCAGTCTCTATTTCAATTAATCCCATATGTTCTGTTATTTCGTTTACGCATTTCTCGTTTTACACGGACATCCACGGGTTCAATTGACTGCATAAATGCAGACTATACTGTACATAAAACAAGTTACATTTACATAATTCTTCACTAATTTTACTATTTATTGTACTCAAATATGTAGATATTATTCACTGAGGCACTTTTTAGGAGTCGACACATGACATATACTGTACTATCAGGTAAGGTACAAATTTATACAGTACAGTTTTACCACCAATACACTGTCACAATGCCACCACCACATCACATTGTGCTGATACCTAAAAATAATGAGAAATTATATATATTTACTCTATACTACTACACTATTTACAAAAGTGTTTCCTGTGCTTTATTACTTTTGATGGGTGTGGTATTGTTGGAAGCATGGAATCGGGCACAGAGCAACATCACACTGAATACACTGATAGTGAGTGTTTTTGCATACTTTGGTCAGATTTCACTCATATGGCACACATGTCATTTTTCTGGGAATACGGCTTTGCCCCGGTGGAAGGAATCACTGAAGGGAAGTATTGAGTAGTCATTCACAATGGGAGTTCACCACCAGCTATGCGACGTCCTCTAGGTCTTTGACAAGGTACCGTATTGGTCTCCCAAAGCTGCCTTACCACATTCGGTGAAAACTTGTGGAGTGTAGGTTTTGTACCTGTCTTCACTAGATGAAGAATGTGTGCATTCATAAGGGAGAATAATTTTTTGTACCATTTCCTGGTCTTATGTGCACAATCTATACTGTAGATCATGCTGTCAAACTTGTCAACCAGATGCATGTTGGAGGTATAGTCTTGGACAGTGTGGCTTGTAAAGCCTCATCCTAGTCTTGGGGTTGACATTGTGGCTGAAGGAGCGATGCATTTGGTAATGGAATTTGGATTATGGTGCTAGAGTCATCAACATCACTCTCACTATCCTTGTCATTATGTGGGTTATCAGTTTCATTGACATAATCAGAATCACTCAAATCACTGTCCTTTCCTAATGGCTCCTCAGCATCACAAGGAGCAGCCTCATTAAAGAGGATAGAGATTATTTCGGCGTCACTGATAGCATGACGTGACGACATCCTTACAGGTGGGACAGGTGAAGGTACCGGCGTGTTGCCAAGAGTACGAGGCCCAATCACGTGATTGCCTGCGGGGTTGTATGCCAGACAACTCAAGATGTTTATTTATAGCTCGAGAGCCCATGGAGATTAGCAGGAATTCTAAAATTTTCAAGGACATTAATATACACCCTAAACCTGGGTGTCCCTTACCTTAGCGGACATAAATCTATAATAATCTGTGCTTATTAATGCCTCTACCCATAATAGACTGTACAATATTTAGTGCATTTTTTTAATGTATCAGTACTGTAATGAATAAATAAAAAAAAGTGTTAAACTTGGCAATGGCCAGTCCTACCCGCCATCCCCCTCCAATGCAGAGGTCTCGGAAAAAGATTACCTTTTAATTCGGCTTGTCTTTAAATTTTGATATCAATCTACTATTTATATGATGTATTTTTTTCTATAGTATTTAATATTTTATATTATCAATGATAAAACATACACCTGAAGAGGCTGATCATACAAGAATATGTAATAATGAATACAGGTAAAAAATAGTAAGTCCTCGCTTAACGTCGTGGTTCCTTTCCTGAAAACCGCGACGTTAACGGAAACAATGTTAACAGAATCAATTTTCCTCATAAGAAATAGGTAAAATGCAGGAGTTACGTTCCCCGGCCTCCCTTTGGTCCATAAAATACATTACATATACAGTACATAAATTCAATGGCATTTTTATAGAAAATAGTATATATATAAATAAACTAAATAATTTTGTATTGTACTCACTGATGGGCGGAGGTGGAGCGAGTGTGTGATGGGTAGTGGAGAGGAGGAGGGTGTGGCGAGTCACTGAGACCAGGCGGGTGGCTCCTCCTCTCTCTCTGACTGAGGTTCCTCCTCTCCAGGCCGCACCTCGATTATGCTGTTCAGTTCTGGCGCCCTTACAATAGAATGGATATCGATTCACTGGAGTCGGTGCAGCGAAGAATGATGAATGTGATTCCAGGACTTAGAAACCTTCCATATCAAGATAGATTAACCCTTAAGCACCGGGTTAGGGTGCTACTGGCAGTACCCCCCCCCCCGTGGGGTTGAATTGAAAAGAAAAATCAACTTTTCCAAAAATAATTTAAAAAAAGAAATGGTAGGAAAATAGGCGGACGTTCTGGAACATCACCCGGGGCCTAAGGGTTAAAGAAACTAAACTTGCATTCCCTAGAAAGACGAAGAGTGCTGGGAGATATGATAGAAGTATTTAAGTGGGTGAAAGGAGTCAATAAAGGAGATATAGATAAAGTTCTTATAATGTTGAAGCAGGATAGGACTCGTAGCAGTGGATTTAAGTTGGATAAGTTTAGTTTAAGGAGGGATAGGAAGAAACTGGTTCATAAATAGGGTAGTAGACGAGTGGAACAAGCTTAGCAACTTTGTAGTAAGTGCTGGGATGCTGGAAGGTTTTAAAAGGAAGCTAGATCGATTCATGGACGATAGAGAGTGGTTGTAGCTCTCGACAGGAGCTGCCATGCACAGGCCAACCGGCCTATTGCAGACTCCTTATTTTCTCATGTTCTTATTACCCCCGGTAACTCGAATATGCTGGATAGCTTCAAACATAGGTTGGATGGATATATGAGCAATAGGGGTTGGGTGTAAATGGGACTGTACAGTATGGGCCGATAGGCCCGCTTCAGTTTCCTCCATTCTTATGTTCTTTTGTTCCATTTTCGTAGCAAGGCCAATGGTCTTGCATTGCTTAATCACAACACTAGCATCAGTAGCACTTGATGGGTGCTTGGAAGTCATTTTGAATGGTTATAGTACAGTACTGTATTTAGAGCAAAAACACTTAAACACGCACGAACGCTGTGGAAGCCTAACAAAGGCTGGCAACACTTGGGGATGCTGTGACGCTCTGCGAGAGAGAGCGTAGTGCGCCAAGATGAGAGAGGGTGATGCGCCATACAAAGTAGTCCATGATGACGATATGCTGAATCAGCGGGACGTTGTCCGAATCATGGGTATCTAAAGAATAGCGACGTTATAACGAAACAATGTTGTCGGGGGTAATGTTAAACGAGGACTTACTGTAAAAACACTGATGAACGAGGCAAGGCCTCCCTCCCACCCAACCACACACTGTTTCTTACAGACACACACTCTGCTTCTCACACTCCTTCAACTATAATCGTCGCTACCACCCACCCCACCCCCGCCCACACCCCCCAACGCCCGCCTCACACCCCAACGCCACCCTCACACCCCCAACCCTCACACCCCCAACGCCACCCTCACACCCCCAACGCCACCCTCACCCCCAACCCCCACCTGTGCCCTCACCCCCCCAACACCCCCCCTCACACCCAGCCACCCACACACCCCCCCCCACACACCCCAACACCACCTCACACACCACTTCATCACACACACATACACCATTACCACAAACACACACACACACACACACACACACACACACACGTGGATGACTGCACTGTGGGGGTTTCAGTGGACAACACCGCACCAGACTACTCAGCGCTACAAGGCACCCTGGACAGGCTACAGGCATGGACTACGGAGAACAAGGTCACCATCAACCACACCAAAACCGTAGTCATGCACATCAATACCGCCACCACTCCAGTGCATGCCCCAGCAGTCACAGTGGGTGCCCATCCTCTCCAGCTGGTGCAGTCTGCCAAACTCCTGGGTGTAACTATAGACAACAAACTTGACTGGAAGGCCCATGTAAATAACACAGTCAAGGCAGCTTCGTACCGTCTCTACATGCTACGACGGCTTAGGTCACTTGGGACACCCACGCCAGAGCTGAGGACCATCTACAACGCCTTTATTCTCCCCAAACTAATGTATGCATCACCAGCCTGGTCGTCTTTCCTCAACTCCACCCAACAACGTCAGCTAGAGAAGGTACAGAAAAGGGCCTGCAGAATCATGCTCGGCGCTGACTACTCCAGCTACACCAACACTCTCTCCACTCTGGAAATGCCATCCCTCAATGACCTCCACCACCAAGCGCTGGAATGGTTTGGCAGCCAACTATTGCACCACCCTCGTCATCGCCACCTCCTGCCCCCCACCCACCTCGCGCAGTCCGCCACTACAACAAATTTCAGCCCATAAGAGCCCGCACCGATAGATTTAAGAATAGCACCATCCCATCTATTGTTAAAATAATAAACAACGCCTGATTTATGTACTGTATAGCCCTGTAAATATATTCAATGCATATATCATCATGTCTAAATCAAATGTAAGTGTATATTTTTCAGCCACCGGCTGCAACTCTATTAATAAACCGTTTATTATTATTATTATTACACACACACACACACACACATCCCAGTCAACGTGGACGTGGGATCCAGAGTGAGGGTCTTATATGGTATGACAAATTTGTGCGGGGTTAACTGATGCAAAAGTGTGTGACTGCAAGGTGGCAATTTAAAGATGGGTTATTATAAAGAACACAAAAAAAATAACAATAATGTAACAATTTGTAAAGAAAATCTGTCAATCATGTTGGTGTTCTTGAACCTATTAACCCCTTAGCCCTTATTTCCCATTGAATCAATCGTTCCTACAATGAGAATTTTCTATAACGTGGTGTTTTTCAGGAATGCAACTACCGTGTCTTGGGTTGGGCTGTTGGTCTATCCAATGTTAGTACAGGAGGAAACTAGAGTGTCTGGAGGAAACCTGTGATGTTTCCTCCACTGGATAACTTCCTTTTCACATGTGTCCAGGTGAAGAAGGACTCAAACCCTTGACATATTGGTGAGAGATACGCACATTACTGCTGTACCACTAATTCTCTGATAATTTCTTTCAGAAATGGTGAGGAATGGTGGCGAGTACGAAGCAAAGTCCAGGCACCAGTTTTGAAACCCAAAAATGTTCATAATTATCTCAAAGATGTGGATCAGGTGACACTAGACTTTTTAGACAGGTAAGTGTATTTGCAGTGTTTGGATGACAATGAGTTTGTTCATACAGTAGTTGACAAATGGCTTTTAGGACCATCCAGCTAGAAGTGGGATAAAATTCGGAAAATATATAAAATCGGGGAAAAATTTCTGAGTGCTGTGTTAGCCAAGGGTTGTTAAATGGCAAAGTTTTTATTCTCTTATTCTTTATATTACTGTACTCTTCAAGTGAGTCATGACATCTGCCAGAAATAGTGCTCACAAATAATTACCGTATTGTCTAATTGAATAAATAACCCTATGCAGTACTTTGATTATCTTTATTTACATTTATATACAGTATACTGTACTGTACAGTATTAGTAAAATGTTATTATAGTTTTCACAAAGTTTTTGAAATTATTATTGTGTTATTTAAGAAGCACTGTAAAGCAAACATTCAACCGAGTTGGTGTGTGTGTGTTTGCGTGGAAACAAAACTTGTAGCTCGGGAAGAAAATGTTTTAAATTTGAGAATCTCGGGTATTCTGAGATCCAGTTTCAAGGGTCTGTACCTGTGCAGATAGCACAAATTGTGTTGTGATTATTGAGTTGTAATTATTTATCAACAGGACCATAGCTTCATAATTACTGAACCAGAGAAAGAGTTGAGATTTAATTTTTCACTGATATCTCTTACTAATTTTAGAATGAATTAGATATGTTCTTGTTCTTTCTGTTTTCAGAATTTCCACACTGAGAAATAGTGAAGGGGAAGTAACTGTAGATTTCTTAGAAGAATTAAACAAATGGTCCTTAGAGTGTAAGTGATTCTCATTGTTTTATTAGTATTTACTTGTTATCCACTTCCAGATCAAGTGGCATCTTGGTGTGGTATAATTACACTTCCCTCTGTCTCTGATTCTCCTGCTAAATATTTGTTAATCACTTTGCACGGTTTCTTTTGAGTATACCTCACCATTTTGTCAAATATATCATGGAAGCCACACATTCTCAACATTGCTAAAGCTGCCTCCCGAAAGTTGGGAATGCTGTACAAATGCCATAGCTACTTCACTCCTAAGCAGTGCAAGCGAAAACATGTTGAGGTCGGTTCGTAAGAACTTCGTTAACCGAATTTTTTTTCGTTAACCGAATTTTTTTTCGTTAACCGAATTGAAGATCCTTATAGAAGGCAGTTCGTTAATCGAAATTATGTTAACCGAGGTGTTCGTTAAACGAGGGGTCACTGTATTAATTGTTTTTATAGCTATTTTTGCATTTTAATATTAAATACTGTACATTACATTTCAACAAAACTACCATTTATTTCTGAGAACATGGAAATGTAATATTTTTGCTGAAATGATGTACGTATTACAGTGGAAAGTGGGATAAAATTGTGACGAAAGCAATGACTCTCTTTCTTTCGTTCAAAAGATGTTACCGTAATCGCTTTTCGAATGGTTTTCAGTTGTGGGATCATAAGGCTAATGATAGGATAGAATATTATTGTAATACAGTACGAGTACAACAGTTTTTTTAACTGAAAACCATTCGAAAAGCGATTACGGTAACATCTTTTGAATAACGAAAGAAAGCGAAAGTCATTGTTTTCGTCATGATTTTATCCCACTTTCCACTGTAATATGTACGTCATTCCAGCAAAAATATTATATTTCCATATTTATTTCTGAGAATACGTATGTATATTCATTCAGTCACAGTTAGGTAAAATATACTTGTTATGTAATATTTTAATGAAAATAAGGTATCGTAGTTTTTTTTTGTTTCAAATTTAATTAACAAAGATTGATGTTTCAAATGTAATGGACAAAAATTTATGTACAGTATCTATAAATAAACTTTAATAAATGAATACTTTATGTTTTACATCGTCCTGTGCTACCGTACCATGGATTTGGCTACTTTGGGCTTGCTATGATGACGCAAGAGATCTGCCCTGGCAACTGTACCGACACTCACAGCTGGTGGTGCGTTGGTGCATCGTTTCCATTGTTTACTGGTAGTTACTGGTAAATATTTTTCAACCTTACGAAACTATTACCTGTTTAGAGGTCAACCCCCAATTTTTGGCCAAATAATTTGGTCTTAAAAACTCGAACTACACACAGGTATATATGGTAAATAAGGACATGGGGGGGCCAGGGATTTTTTTTTGGGGTGGGGTGGGGTAGCAAAAATACGCGGATTTTTAACATCCACGGGTATCTCTGTTACGTAACCCCCGCGTATGTTAAGGGCCGACTCTACTGCAGTTTTTTTGTGTTTTTTTTTTGCCGACAGTACTAGGCTCATTGGCTCATACATACTGTATTGTTCGATTAATATTGATATAAGTACAGTATTGCAAATATATCCATATACAGTATAACTGTTAAAGATACACAGTTCTGCCTCACTTTAACACTGGATTTAATGTATGTAAAATTATAACTGCTTGAAAACATTAACTCTCAAGATACGAGTGGAAAAAGTTTGAAATATAGAATGTTTACCGTTGAAGTCACAAACAAATTCACACTTTCAGGGAACACATTTACCGCTACTTCTTCTCTTTTGACGAACTATTATGTATATCAAGACAGATGACACCAAACATATAAAGCAGTGGATGTTAATGACCATTTTATAAAGAGTAGAATCAAGTACAGTATAGTCTCGGTTTACGCGGATTTTTTATACGCGGTTGGCCATTTACACGGCACCAGTCCAGACACGCCAATTATTAGTTACGCGGTACATTCCTGAATTTACGCGGGAAGCGGCGCAGACAAGTCGCTCTTACGTCTCCGCTGACGTCAGATGACGTTTCGGATTGTGATTGGGCTATGTATCCTTACCACCCACGCACCCCCTCCGCAGCGAGCTGTGATTGGTCTATTTAACTTTGCTTGCCCTGCCACTAGGGGCGATGAGTTGATGACCTTGACTGCGTCAGTCCCATTGTCTCCCGTCTCCGCGTATACTCCCTCGTGCCTGCCACCCACCACAGCCAGCTCAAGTCAGTGATAGTGAGGATTTGGACTTTGAGGGGTTTGAAAAGGAGGCCCCGCTAGCCTCTGTGGTGGATAGTGATACAGGTGAGGGCCAATAATCTGCCCTCTGCCTCGGAACCAACCCCCCATCCCCGTGTGCCCAGCCATCTCTTCTACTAACGTAAGTGTTAAAAAACCTAATATTATTGATATTTCTTTTAAATATTAATTGTGTGTGCATACCATCATAAAATTAAGATGTTATTTTTACTACAACGTACGTATTGTGTCAGAAAAAGGGTAGTCTGGGAGTTGGCTGAGTCTCTATTTCAATTAATCCCATATATTCTGTTACAGTTGTACCCCGCTTTGCGCGGTCAATTGAACCCACAGGGTACCGCGTTAAGTGAACAACAGAACATATGGGATTAATTCCAATAGAGACTGGCCCTACCCCTAAACTCTACTTTTTCCGACACAATACCTGTTCTAGTAAAAATAACCTCTTAATTTTATGATGGTACATGCACACAATTAATACTTAAGAGAAATAGAGAAATACAGTCGCCAAGTTAATGTCCATTCAAATAATGGACTCGACTCCCTCCCCCTCTTCTCACACTACACTGCTGGCTCTTCCCTCTCTGAGAAATTTTGGGGGGAAAACCACTAGATTTTAATAAATAATACCTCAAACTAAAGTTAGGATAATATAATTGACATTGCTGGATTCCTTGTAAGACCAGGAATATTTTGAATATAAATGTTATATATTTTGCACAAAAGATAACATATTTACTCAGAGTAAACATTATATCTAAAATTTGTATGTCTAATGCAAAATCTATGATGTTTATATTCAAAATGATCATCAAATTATAAGAATTCCAGCAATATAAATTATATTCTGGCCGGGTAATTTGTATGAATTTTATGAGCTAAAACAAATATCTTCAGTTAATAAAAAAAATATATTCTTCACACTGTGCCAGATGGTCGGTCGGTCCCTCCCTCCCCCCCACCCCCCACCAACTCTCCCTACCAGATGTGTGGGAAAACCAGAATATTTACCTTTTTAGTAATAAATAATACCTCAAACTAAAGTTAGGATAATATAATTGATATTGCTGGATTCCTTGTAAGACCAGGAATATTTTGAATATAAATGTCATATATTTTGCACAAAAGATAACATATTTACTCAGAGTAAACATTATATCTAAAATTTGTATGTCTAATGCAAAATCTATGATGTTTATATTCAAAATGATCATCATATTGTAAGAATTCCAGCAATGTATATTATATTCTGGCCGGGTAATTTGAATGAATTTTATGAGCTAAATAAAAAAAAAATATATACTTCACCGCGTATATGAGTAGATGAACCGCGTTAAGTGAAAGTTCGGTTCTGGCGAGGCACCGCGTATATGAGAAATCGCGTTAAGTGAAACCGCGTAAAGCGGGGTAATACTGTATTTCGTTTACGCGTTTCACGTTATACGCGGACCTCCATGGGTTTAATTGACCGCGTAAAATGAGACTATACAGTTCCTTCCAGAAGGTCGTTCGTTAACCTAAAATTTTGTTAACCGAAACCATTGTTTCAATGGGTTTTTGGGTACAGTAATTGGTTCCAGCTCACCGAAAATTACCTAAAATTAAAAAAAAATGCAGTAAAGTACACTTACAGTGAGTTCTGCTATAACACGTGTTTTGATAACGCGAATTTGCTCTAACGCGATTTATGAATTCGGAACAATATTTGTATAACGCGATCGCTTGTTTGCTATAACGCGATTTTTGCTTACTATTTCTCCAATTTTGTGGTATTAACTGTGAATATGGTAAAGAAGAATATCTCCAAAAAGCATTCTGATGATAGAATTCCCGGTGATTATCGTAAAAGAAAGGATATAACACTTGAAGAGAAGCTTGATGTTATCAACCTCAAAATCACCCTTCTCCCCATCAAGTTACATTCATATTTTTTCAAGGTAAAGTGTTAAATTTACTGTATGATTTCATTATTAGATATGAATGTAACATTTATTTAGACTGTGCTATCCTTTGTGTTAGGCTAACTACTAAATTTTTTCGATTTCGAGTAATCTGCACCTAACCCTATTTTCTCCATAAGCCCTGTTATTTCTATTACGCGATTTTCTATAACACGATATTTTACAAGAACACAATTATCGCGTTATAGCAGAACTACCTGTACTTTGAGGTGTGCATGTAGAAGGCTCCTGGTTGATGATGATGATGATGATGATGATGATGGGAATTAGAAGTGGGGGTGGAGGAGAAGGGAGAAGAGAAGGCAGTGGGGTGGAAGAGAAGTCACTCCATTCTTCATGCCGCCATTTCACCCATAAAATTTTAAGTTCACTAGGTGTAATTCAAGATTATTTTCTTTAAATCAACACCTCACTGCATTATATATTGTCAATATGTAAAATAAATTTCAGAATGCCCAATAATTGTACTGTAAAAACGTAAAAATAGTTTATGTTCAAGAGAGAGTCAAGCAAGATGCTTCCTCCACCGAGCAGAGACACAAAGTGACGCCATTCTGGGGGAGTCAAGTGGCTGTTTGGCGTGCTAAAAACTAGTTCCCTGTTAAATAATTGTTAAAATTACTAAAAAATTTAATATAAGACTTGGAAAATTATTGAATAGTACAACCTTCTTGATATTTACTCAAATGGTAACGAATTTAAGCCCTAAAACCGATTACTGTATTGGCAGCCTAATACTACAGCTGGTGAGCAGGCGAAAACATGTTGGGAAAAATTCGTAAGGAATTCGTTAACCAAATTTT